ATGCCATTAAACATTTCAATATTACGTGATGCCATGCGATATTTAAATGAACCTTGTTTTTCCCAATTTGATTTTCAAATGTCAATGTTTTTTTATTTTTTCCCTTCTTTGTTGAATTTTATGAATTTAACCTTAATTTTATTTAATTTTTGTTTGTTTTTTCATGCTTGTTTTTTGTCTTAATAATGTGTTTTTTATGTTCCCAGGCCTTCTGCTGTGACACCCTTCAGTAAGTGAAGGTGACCTCAGGCAGGAGTGATGTGCTCTTAACACGCTGATCTGAGGTATGCTCTCAGAGGACCAGGTGACACTCTGCTCCTCCTGGTCCTAAACATCTTAAAAACTTGAGAGAAGAAGAGGTTGAGAGGTCGTCGGCCTCTGTCCTCCTCACTGAAGTCTTGGAGCTGGATGTTCAGATTTCTCACCGGTGCCTCCACAAACCAGTCACTCTGGAGCAGGGCGGAGGAGATGGGTCCCAGCTCTTCCCGGAGACTTCTCGCCGCCTCTTTAGCTTTAGTTTTGAGGTCTTTGATCTTCAGGTCTGTTCTTTGGGGCATGGAGACTCTTCGTTCCACCTCACACAGTCGCAATTTACTTTTCCTTGTTCCCTAATTTCCAGGGACACGGGGGATTTGTCCAAAAGCTTTCGGATCTTCGTTGAAACCATGAAGTGAGCGGCATCGGAGCTGTCGTCCCCTATCTCTGGTGGGACGGTTTTCTCTAGTGGACTGACAGTTTCTGAAGGACTGCTCAAGTCCTGGAGGTTTGGGGTTTCTGGAGCAGGAGGTTCTTGGATAACCTCAGGTGTGTTACGGTCCTGCACCAGACTCTCAAGGTCAAGAGAAGAGATGAGGTCCAGGGACGAAGGAAGATCTACTGGACTGTCCTGCTCTGGAAAAGTCTGAGTCACAGTGCAGAGGGTCTGGACTGGATCCTCAGAGAAAGGCACCTCTGTGATTGGATTCTCTATGATTGATTCCTCTGTGATTGGATTCTCTATGATTGGTTCCTCTGTGATGGCTCCTCGGGGAAAGGCACCTCTGTGATTGGCTCGTTTTGGACAGGCACCTCTGTGATTGGCTCGTTTTGGACAGGTACCTCTGTGATTGGCTCTTCCGGAACAAAATCCTCAGACACAGGCTCCTCCAGGAGTAGTTCCTCAGAGACAGGCACTTCTCTGAATGGCTCCTCAGGGAAAGGCACTTCTGTGATTGGCTCCTCTGGGACAGGCACCTCTGTGATAGGCTCCTCAGGGAAAGGCACCTCTGTGATTGGCTCCTTTTGGACATGCACCTCAGTGATTGGCCCCTCGGGGAAAGGAACCTCTGTGATTGGCTCGTTTTGGACAGGCACCTCTGTGATTGGCTCGTTTTGGACAGGTACCTCTGTGATTGGCCCGTTATGGACAGGCACCTCTGTGATTGGCTTGTTTTGGACAGGCACCTCTGTGTTGGGCTCCTCGGGGACAGACCCTCTGTGATTGGCTCGTTTTGGACAGGCACCTCGGTGATTGGATCCTCAGAGACAGGCTTCTCTGGGATGGTCTCCTCTGGGCCGGTGGGGACCCCTCTCTCTGAGATGCAGGTGTGTCCTTCTGGGCTGGTGGGACAGTATCCTTAAACTTCTGCCAGGCCTCGAGCTTCTCTGTCTGTCGCAGTTTGAAGACCCTCTGCTGGAAGAGGAGCTCCTCGGAGGGGGACAGCTTAGGGTTGTCCAACTCCATCTGCTCTTTGAACCCCATCATGTGCAGCATCTTCTCTGCTGCCTCCAGCTTGGCCGTCTTCTTGTTTGGACCCAGGCCAGGCCAGACCCTTGACATGTCCTTTGGTCAACTCTGACCTCCATACAGAACTCGGACGCACGGTAGCCACGGTGTTGGAAGCCGACCACCCTGTACTCGGCCGGCCTCTGCTTCCACACCATCAGGATCTCTGCCAGGGTACTGATGGGGTCTTTCTTGTAGAAGAAGTAGACCCGCTGTGAGGGGTCCACCAGCTCCATGTGGGGTTTGGACCAGTAAGGAGTCACGTCCTCTGGCAAAGGACGCTTCCTCAGCTGATGCAAAACCAGGTGGGGCCTGAACCACATCCCACCAGGTCCCCTACTCTCAGCTGTATGTGGAAGGTCGGTGCATGGCAAGGGCCCTCTTTTCCCATCTCATTGAACTGCAGCTGCAGGTGGTGCAGTAATGCCAGTTCGTACAGGAGGGAGAGGTCGGTCTTGTGGACTTCACTGGGGAGTCCACGCTGCATGTTGTCTGTAATAGTAGTAGTAATCTTTATTTATATACCGCCTTTTCACTGCAGATCTGAGTCTCAAAGCGGTTTACAATTGTTAATTTTGGGCATTTCTCTCTCACTCCACACAGAGATGGGAGCGGGGTCGCCGGTACAGGAGGCACATGCCAGAACTATTGGACATATTTTTAGTGGTAGGGGAAACCGGAGTACCCGGAGGAAACCTACACAGACACGGGGAGAACATGCAAACTCCACTCAGAAAGGCCCTGGTCCGACCAGGATTCGAACCCAGGACCTTCTTGCTGAGAGGCGAGAGTGCTATCCACTCAGCCACCGTGCCGCCCGTCTGTGTTTGTGTTTGCTTCTGTTTCTATAATGTGCTAAATTAATACACTGTTGTGGGACGAATATTCACTTAGCATGTTTACATCTTCCTGAGGTAACCTTTTAAAGCCAACATTCTAGAATGACTTCATAAAGACAAGCTGGGTTGCCATGAAAACATAGCAACCGTCAGGCATGTGCACAGAGGGACTTCTCTTTTAAAATTTCCTGTTGTTTATATCCTGTATAATTTTAAATCACATGGTTGTTTCTGTAATAAACTAATAATAACATTTATTTTGTTGCCGGTGCGTGACTTGAGAACTCTCCCGCCGCTGGAGCTCTCGCAGGACAGTCTGTGTGCAGGACATTTACGTGGGTGCCCCCTGCAGGTTCTGCTGTGACATTCAACAGGTCTCAGCGCAGTCAGAGGTCTGGACGAACATCAGGTTTCATTGATTTCATCCGAGTCTCGACAGATGAGCAAAGTATCATCAACTCATCAACAAAAGAGTGTTGATGCTCTATGCTCAACACTCAAAGATGCTTTATATCAAGCATAAAACAAAAACAATAACGTTATATCTTTACTGATAGTCCTCACAAATCAAAGAGTTTATCAGTATTATGACCAGGTTTAAGTCCAACTGTTTTGACTCTAATAGAGACCAGAGAGAGAGACAATAAAGAGACCAGAGAGAGACAATGACACACAAAAAACGTTATTACATGAAGGTCTTTCCTAAAACTAAACCTAATTCCAAAAGGTTTTCTTCTCTTTGCTTTGTTCACTCACACTCAAACTCATCAGGTCTTAGTGATATATGAGGACCTAAAACACACACACTCACATCAGGTCTAAGTGAGATATTAGGACCTACAGCTTAACAAGCACTTTAGGTCTGAGTGAAATATTTATCAATAGTTACACCTTTCACGGAGAGCAACTCTGTAGGTGGACAAATAAATTTGAACTTTATATTAGAATTATTTATTTTTATAAATTTTTATTAATATTTTGACACCTCACTTTTATATTTGTTTTTGATGTTTTAAATTGTAATTTAAACATGATTTTCCTACTGGAGTTAAGAACATTTTTCAGGGAGAAAATCTACTGACACAAGGAGAACAAACAGTCACTCACTACTCAATTATCTTTTTAAATTAGCTTGAGTCAAAATTTTGGCTATTCTACCCACCTCTGGGAATGTATTTAAGTTTGTGACAAAATAGGTGACATATGAGGTCAAATGTGTGTGTGTTTAAAGTGTGTTAAGGTAGTTCCGTGCACGACCAGAGGGGCACATCAAACTTTTTGGGACGGAATGTTTCAGCCCCGACACACATTTTCACTATTTGTAAACATTTTGGAACATGCTTGATTTTTGGTGTGGAGCTTCTTCTGGGTCTCTACAACACTGTAGTATGCATGGAAAAATGGGGACCTGAAAAAAGTCCCCATATTTCCTCAGGTCCCCATATTGAAGTTGTGTTATCAAACAAATCTCCTCATATGTCCACAAAACAAACGCACACACACACGCACACACCTACGCACACACACACACACAAACGCTCTCTGACTTCTGTTTTGACTGAAGAACCAAATAATTTACACTGTGGTCGATTACATTCTCAAGTCTTCAACATAAAAAGACAAAATGAATGGCACATATGTAATAAAATAGTGTTTGAGATATCCCGTAAACAGAGAGACATGAAGTCTTGAATTGATTTGTATTTGAGTTGATCTGTATTTAAGATCTTATAGTCTCAGAGACGCCAGAGCATCTCCCGACAAGAGGCTCAGTGCAGCTTTAAAATCTGAAAAATAAACTTTTCTCTGGTTTTGCTGTGGGAGCTCATTGTCCGTTTCTTCTCTGAGCTCTGAGCCAAAAGATCTTTCAGGATTATTGTTACTGAGAATAAGATTAGATCACAGTCTGCGGAAATGTGATTGAAATTTTAAACATGAATCCTATAAAGTTATGCCCTGAATAAAGATGTGACCACAGTTCAGACCAGGACTGACTCTGCGTCCCTCTGCTCTCTCCTCAAAGCTCTCTGTCCCTCTGCTCTCTCCTCAAAGCTCTCTGTCCCTCTGCTCTCTCCTCAAAGCTCTCTGTCCCTCTGCTCTCTTCAAAGCTCTCTGTCCCTCTGCTCTTTCCTCAAAGCTCTCTGTCCCTCTGCTCTCTCCTCAAAGCTCTCTGTCCCTCTGCTCTCTCCTCAAAGCTCTCTGTCCCTCTGCTCTCTTCAAAGCTCTCTGTCCCTCTGCTCTTTCCTCAAAGCTCTCTGTCCCTCTGCTCTCTCCTCAAAGCTCTCTGTCCCCCTGCTCTCTCCTCAAAGCTCTCTGTCCCTCTGCTCACCTTAAAGCTCTCTGTCCCTCTGCTCACCTCAAAGCTCTCTGTCCCTCTGCTCTCTCCTCAAAGCTCTATGTCCCTCTGCTCTCTCCTCAAAGCTCTCTGTCCCTCTGCTCTCTCCTCAGAGCTCTCTGTCCCTCTGCTCTCTCCTCAAAGCTCTCTGTCCCCCTGCTCTCTCCTCAAAGCTCTCTATCCCTCTGCTCACCTTAAAGCTCTCTGTCCCTCTGCTCACCTTAAAGCTCTCTGTCCCTCTGCTCACCTTAAAGCTCTCTGTCCCTCTGCTCACCTCAAAGCTCTCTGTCCCTCTGCTCACCTTAAAGCTCTTTGTCCCTCTGCTCACCTTAAAGCTCTAAGTCCCTCTGCTCTCTCCCCAAATCTCTCTGTCCCTCTGCTCTCTGCTCAAAGCTCTCTGTCCCTCTGCTCTCTTCAAAGCTCTCTGTCCCTCTGCTCTCTCCTCAAAGCTCTCTGTCCCTCTGCTCTCTCCTCAAAGCTCTGTCCCTCTGCTCTCTTCAAAGCTCTCTGTCCCTCTGCTCTCTTCAAAGCTCTCTGTCCCTCTGCTCACCTTAAAGCTCTCTGTCCCTCTGCTCTCTCCTCAAAGCTATCTGTCCCTCTGCTCACCTTAAAGCTCTCTGTCCCTCTGCTCTCTCCTCAAAGCTATCTGTCCCTCTGCTCACCTTAAAGGTCTCTGTCCCTCTGCTCACCTCAAAGCTCTCTGTCCCTCTGCTCACCTCAAAGCTCTCTGTCCCTCTGCTCTCTCCTCAAAGCTATCTGTCCCTCTGCTCACCTCAAAGCTCTCTGTCCCTCTGCTCACCTTAAAGCTCTCTGTCCCTCTGCTCACCTCAAAGCTCTCTGTCTCTCTGCTCACCTTAAAGCTCTCTGTCCCTCTGCTCACCTCAAAGCTATCTGTCCCTCTGCTCACCTTAAAGCTCTCTGTCCCTCTGCTCACCTCAAAGCTCTCTGTCCCTCTGCTCACCTCAAAGCTCTCTGTCCCTCTGCTCACCTTAAAGCTCTCTGTCCCTCTGCTCACCTTAAAGCTCTCTGTCCCTCTGCTCACCTCAAAGCTCTCTGTCCCTCTGCTCACCTTAAAGCTCTCTGTCCCTCTGCTCACCTCAAAGCTATCTGTCCCTCTGCTCACCTTAAAGCTCTCTGTCCCTCTGCTCACCTCAAAGCTCTCTGTCCCTCTGCTCACCTCAAAGCTCTCTGTCCCTCTGCTCACCTCAAAGCTCTCTGTCCCTCTGCTCACCTCAAAGCTCTTTGTCCCTCTGCTCTCCTCAAAGCTCCTTGTCCCTCTGCTCACCTTAAAGCTCTTTGTCCCTGTGCTCACCTTGAAGCTCTCTGTCCCTCTGCTCTCCTCAAATGAAGTAGACCACCCCATGTCAAACTGTTGACGACTTGTTCACATCAGAGCAGTTCCTGGAAGTAACGGAGCTGGAGGATATTCTTGCGGTGCCTTTTCTTTGAGTGGTGCATAAACCGGAGAGCCCGGAGGATAAACGCCTAGACTGCTTCTCAAATATATAATTTATGTTCAAGCTTCTTCCTTAGCTCGAGATACACTCTTTCTACCCTCTGTTTCGCCACAGGCTCCTGGTTTGACACTACATCTCTGTAACTCGATGATAACATCACTCTTTTCACGGTCAGGGCTCAGTGTGTTTTAGTTCATGGGAAAATCTTTCCTGCTTCCATCTCCAAAACTGGTGTCCTGTCGCGTACTCTTTTTATTCTCTACTGGAACAGTTGTCAATCAACAGAGACGAGGGGCTTCACCTCGACTCACACTTGGGACTCACTTGTCCAGAAACCATAGCATGGTGGGGGCATGATCTGTCTCTGAGCATGGTCAGTCTGTGGGAGCGTGGTCAGTCTGTGGGAGCGTGGTCTGTCTGTGGGAGCGTGGTCTGTCTGTGGGAGCGTGGTCTGTCTGTGGGGGCATGGTCAGTCTGTGGGGGCGTGGTCTATCTGTAGGGGCGTGGTCAGTTTGTGGGGGCATGGTCAGTCTGTGGGGGCATGGTCAGTCTGTGGGGGCGTGGTCTATCTGTAGGGGCGTGGTCAGTTTGTGGGGGCATGGTCAGTCTGTGGGGGCGTGGTCTATCTGTAGGGGCGTGGTCAGTTTGTGGGGGCATGGTCTGTCTGTGGGGGCATGGTCAGTCTGTGGGGGCGTGGTCTATCTGTAGGGGCGTGGTCAGTTTGTGGGGGCATGGTCTGTCTGTGGGGGCATGGTCAGTCTGTGGGGGCGTGGTCTATCTGTAGGGGCGTGGTCAGTTTGTGGGGGCATGGTCTGTCTGTGGGGGCATGGTCTGTCTGTGGGCATGGTCAGTCTGTGGGGGCGTGGTCAGTCTTTGGGGGCGTGGTCAGTCTGTGGGGGCATGGTCAGTCTGTGGGAGCGTGGTCTGTCTGTGGGGGCATGGTCAGTCTGTGGGGGCATGGTCAGTCTGTGGGAGCGTGGTCAGTCTGTGGGAGCGTGGTCAGTCTGTGGGGGCATGGTCAGTCTGTGGGAGCATGGTCAGTCTTTGGGGGCGTGGTCAGTCTGTGGGGGCATGGTCTGTCTGTGGGGGCATGGTCAGTCTGTGGGAGCGTGGTCAGTCTGTGGGAGCGTGGTCAGTCTTTGTGGGCGTGGTCTATCTGTGGGGGCATGGTCAGTCTGTGGGGGCATGGTCAGTCTGTGGGAGCGTGGTCAGTCTGTGGGAGCGTGGTCAGTCTGTGGGGGCATGGTCAGTCTGTGGGAGCGTGGTCTGTCTGTGGGGGCATGGTCAGTCTGTGGGAGCGTGGTCAGTCTGTGGGAGCGTGGTCAGTCTTTGTGGGCGTGGTCTATCTGTGGGGGCGTGGTCAGTCTGTGGGAGCGTGGTCAGTCTGTGGGGGCATGGTCAGTCTGTGGGAGCGTGGTCAGTCTTTGTGGGCGTGGTCTATCTGTGGGAGCATGGTCAGTCTGTGGGAGCGTGGTCAGTCTTTGTGGGCGTGGTCTATCTGTGGGAGCGTGGTCAGTCTTTGGGGGCGTGGTCTGTCTGTGGGGGCGTGGTCAGTCTGTGGGAGCGTGGTCAGTCTTTGTGGGCGTGGTCTATCTGTGGGGGCGTGGTCAGTCTTTGGGGGCGTGGTCAGTCTGTGGGGGCATGGTCAGTCTGTGGGAGCGTGGTCAGTCTTTGTGGGCGTGGTCTATCTGTGGGGGCGTGGTCAGTCTTTGGGGGCATGGTCTGTCTGTGGGAGCGTGGTCAGTCTGTGGGGGCATGGTCAGTCTGTGGGGGCATGGTCAGTCTGTGGGGGCGTGGTCTATCTGTGGGGGCATGGTCTGTCTGTGGGGGCATGGTCAGTCTGTGGGAGCGTGGTCTGTCTGTGGGCATGGTCAGTCTGTGGGGGCGTGGTCAGTCTTTGTGGGCGTGGTCTATCTGTGGGGGCATGGTCAGTCTGTGGGGGCATGGTCAGTCTTTGGGGGCGTGGTCAGTCTGTGGGGGCATGGTCTGTCTGTGGGGGCATGGTCAGTCTTTGGGGGCGTGGTCAGTCTGTGGGGGCATGGTCTGTCTGTGGGGGCGTGGTCAGTCTGTGGGGGCATGGTCAGTCTTTGGGGGCGTGGTCTATCTGTGGGGGCATGGTCAGTCTGTGGGGGCATGGTCAGTCTTTGGGGGCGTGGTCAGTCTGTGGGGGCATGGTCTGTCTGTGGGGGCGTGGTCAGTCTGTGGGGGCATTGTCAGACTGACATTGTTGCTGTGTATCTTATTGTACCGTTTTAAATTTAACTCCCTGTGTGTTTGTGCAGAGTCTGTGTGTGTGTTTTTGTGTTTGTGTGTTCTGCTTTGAAATTCTACAGCACATTAATCGTCCTCTGGGATCAGTAATCTGAATTACACGTCTGCGTGAAGGACAGCAATTTATGATTATGGTAATATGAGTTATGTTTGAGCCTCTGAGAAGGATCGGGATAAATAATGTTTACATAAATATTACAAACATCGGTTTTACAAAGTTTGATAGGAGCTCTGCCTCTCTGAGCACAAGACCATGTGCATGTGTAGACTCCTGCAGCCTCCTACAGACACAGAGACCACAGAGGATCCACTCAGACGGACACCACGTCAAATGTGCCAAAATATCAACTGCTTTAAGGTTCGTCTCCTCAGGGAAATGTGTGTCTCCCAGCAGTTTGACAATAACACACAACACAAATTCAGACTGAAAGACCGGCCACAGATCTCACCCATCCAGAGCCAGCCAATCACACAGCTCTACCAGCCTCGAGCCTCTGCCAATCACACAGCCCGACTAGCCTCTTGCCAACCCACTGACAGCAAAGCGGGCAGTTTAAAAGCAGCCACTCCCCGATAAACGGCGCTTCCTGAGGCTATTAACACCCACCACCTCCCCAGCCCCTCCTCAGCTCCTGGTTCCTGCTCGGGTTTCCCCACTGGCTCCTGCCCTGGCTCCTGCCCTGGCTCCTGCCCTGGCTCCTGCCCTGGCTCCTGCCCTGGCTCCTGCCCTGGCTCCTGCCCTGGCTCCTGCTCTGGCTCCTGCTCTGGCTCCTGCTCTGGCTCCTGCCCTGGCTCCTGCTCTGGCTCCTGCGCCACATTCACAGCATGCTTCTAGCCACCACCAGTGCTTGACCCCGGGGGGTCTGAGATCATCTACAGCAGCAGACGATCTCCCCTCTGCAAATGTCACTGCCGGGGTCAATGAGCCAAACAAATTAATCTTTATAATAAATTCATGTTTCTGTCTTGGTCTCTTCAGATTGAAATACTATTCCTTAAACAAAAGCCCCTTCTGAAACACACATTATCTTTCTACAACACACTCTCTCCTGGTCACTACACACTGTGTCATACACTTTGTTCATGAATACAATGCTGTGTTATCGTTGCGAAAACACATCTATTCAAAATACCAAACACATTGTGTGATTGAACATACTTTAAAAACATTTACATTGAAAACATTTACAAAACGCGACAAACAAAAGCCGGAATTAAACAGGCCTCAGTTCAGCCATTTTCAGGACTTTGCAAGTTTGGAGGCAGGAAGGACAAGAAGAAGAGGAAGACAAGGAGAGAGGAGGTGGTTGAAGATATTTCTGATGACATTAGATCAGGGGTGCCCAAAGTTGGCCCGCCAGACCATTTCAGTTGGCCCGCCAAACATTGCCCACCTCCGCTATAAGTTTCTATCTGCGTCCCTCAGCCTCGCTGAACACACAGTGACATGTCTGAGGTCGCACGGGCACAAAGTCGCCCTCTGAACTCTGACTGTCCAGTACTTAACTGTTGTATCGAGATACACTCCTCACTCATGGTTCACATCAACTTGCACTAAACTGTTTTTTAAAATCAAACACATCTTTCAAAACAATTGGGTGCAAGGCCCCTTTATGTTCTTTTTTTTCAGCCTACTATTATTATTTTTTGGAGCTATTTAATGTTTTATCAAATTGAGAGGATTGTGCTGGCGAACTGCCACTCTCCCTCCCCCTCCTCACCGGAGGGAAATGGCGAGTGGAACTATTCACCTGCGCAATCCGCACCCACCCGGTGTGTTAAAAAGGACGGACACAAACACTTCAGAGTGAGTTCAAGCAGGACAAGCAGGGATCGCAGCGCACGATCCACGCAAGTAGAAGCAACAAATACTGTGCAAAACAAACCCTTCTACAACCCCATGAAAGAAGCCGGTAAGCGCCGTCCTCACTCGCGATCATTGAATGTCAGACAGAACTTACGCGGAGTTTTATGATGCGTTCAAGAGCCCTTTGGAGGAGCGGAAACACGGACTCTTTAACAGTTACTTTGTTTTGATTGTTTATAAATGTTGTACTGTGTTTAGGCAAAACAAAACAAAACTCCAGGAACAAATCATGGTTAACTAGTCTGATTTTGTTAGTTTAATATTCAGTTCACTACTAATTGAGAATACTTGTCCTATGTTAAAACAGAGTTAAAACCTGATCATGTTTAGAAAATGCAGTTAGCAATTATGTTCCCAAATTCATTACTTAATGTTAAAATGTATTGTTTAAAAGTGTGCTAAAACCAGATCTATTGATCAGTTATGTCTCCCCTTTTTGATAAAAGCTAAGATAAAGTAATATGATTCAAATGTAGTTAAAAACTTTTGTTCAAAATAAATATATGAAAATAGACTTGGAAATTGCTTTGGCTCAGTGCAACAGAGATAATAAAAAAAGAATAAAAAACACTTCTAAGGAATAAATTTAAATTTAAAATAGAGTTACAGTTACTATTTACAATATACAAGTGCACATGGTGCACACAAAATGTATGTTTCTGTTCTCTTTTTGAGGTTTTATTATATGATTTTAACCTTTAAATAAGCCATGACAGAAAATCTCCCTCCTCTGGACCCTGATTACCCGGCCGGAATCTTTCCGTACTGTAGTCTCCTCAAACCTGCATATTTCCCTGGAGTCTCCACTTCACTAAGACTGTGTTGATTTCATTCATTCAGCTGTGATTTGCACTGATAGACAATAATTAATGCATTTAAAAGAACTTGATCAAATCTACATTTATTTGTGTTTCATGCATAATATTGGTGTATTTGGCCCGCGGCCCACTGGCAAATTTTTACTTTGGCCCTTGGAAGCAAAAGGTTTGGGCACCCCTGCCTTATACAAAGCAGGAACGTTTTTGCGTCTCCAGACAGATTTGTTTTTTGTATTTTTGGTCAAATATGGCTCTTTGAACCTTTTGAGTTCCCGACCCCTGACCTAGAAGCACTGGGGATTCATCATTCATTCATCCAAAACAAGCCGTGAAAAGTTTTAAAAAACTGAAGCAGGACAATAAAAGACTCAAAAGACCACAACAAACGGAGCGGTCACAAACGTAAAATTAACAAATGGGTTTGGCGCATGGATCTATAATAATAACGGGTTTGGCATAATGAGTTTCGCTTATGCGGCAATCAAAACTCATATGACGTCGCCGAGTGGTCCTACTGCAGAGGAGACACGAACACTGAGAGGACCGAGAGAGAGGAAGGTCCCTGTAAAAGTTCCACCTCGCTTCTTTTACCAGGAGCTCCTGCGGTGGAAACGCGGCTAATGACAGTCATGTGATCGTAAATAAAGTCATTACTAAGTCCTTATGAAAAGTCAAACAAACTGATGTCATAGTGGAACAATGACATCGTACTATTACAGGACTGGGACAGGACTGGGACAGGACTGGGACAGGACTGGGACAGGAGCTTTGAGACGGAAGGGCCGGGGCTTACCCAGCTCTGGTCCAGGACTCTCCATCACTCTGTACAAATGCATCTTGCTGAAGTTCCGGGACTCCAGGCGGACACACCGAGGGTCCAGGATCATGGCCTGGAACCGGCCCAGACCACAGTCCGGAGCCACGCTCACAAAGCAGGTCCCATGGCTCTGGGCAGAGAAGAGAGCATAAGCTAGGCTAGGTGGGTAAGCTAGGCTAGGTGGCACAAGAGTAGTGCAGTACAGAACACATGCATTGGAGTCGATTCGATGAACCCGGATTGTGTGGGAAGAAGTTTCTAGTATTACCAGTTGTAGGTTGCATTAATAATTCATATCTAATTTATCTAATCTAAATATTAACTTGCAAGGGCGCAAAACATATGTAAAAATAGAAGAAAGGATATTTTATAGTTCACAAAATTTTAAAGAGCTATTTAATTGTTGTACAGTTGTATTTGAAGGTTCACACACAATATTATTCCACATTATTTATTATTATGAAGATTATGAATTATACCAGAAAGACTTTTTGGTTTGTGGTTGTGTTTTTTTTTTTATTCTAAATTGATAACATCATTGAGCCTGTTTATGTAAGGCGGCTGAGGAATTTACAGATACCGGAGGCTTATAATATCAACAAGGAGAATGAGCAGCGCTACCATCTGAGAGGATAAAGAACCTCATCCACACAGACTGTATATAGATGGACAATGCTAACTCGCTAGCTCATTGAAGCCAAATAGTGAAGAGCTTGTGGATAAAGTTTTGCTCAAACTCGCTCTGGCCCCTTCTGAAACTCCTCTAGCTCAGTAATGGTTTGTGTCACACTCACCGTTTTGGGCTTAACTAATCTGTGGTTTAACACACTCTGTGATCTGGGTGTTTATGTTTCAATATTGTCTTTGTGAAGCCAGTCTATGTTCAAAGCTAGTAATAAATCATTACCCCAACAATTGCAGTCTGTGTTTAATGCAAGGGACGGTGTCTACAACTTAAGAGGACAACAACATTTTAAAATGAGGCGATGCCGCACAGTAAGAACGAGTTTCTGTATTTCAAGTTGTGGCGTTAAATTATGGAATAGTCTCAGTGTTTAACTAAAATTATCTCAAAATATAATTCATTTAAAAAAGACATATAAGGACAACATTTTTATGCAATATTTGAAAGAGTAATGTTTAATGTGTTTCTTTCACGTGTGCAGATGTGGTTGTGTTGCTGACATATACACAGCTGACTGTTTAAGTTACTGACCTGCAATATTTTGTATAGAAACTTAATGACTACAGAGATAAACTTCTGTTGTTCTATTGGAAGTGATCTGAATATTGAAATGATTCCCGAAATATCATGTAAATATATATATATATATATATTAGATCTTTTTTTTCTATTGCAATTGACCAACTCCTAGTTGAATGTCTTGCATGTATTTGCTTAAATAAATAAAAAAATAAAAAAATAAATTAAATGAGCCATATAAGGGTTGATGGGTTAATTTGTGGGGGAAATAACATTTTGGATTCATTATTGAGAAGAGAATAAACGTATAACATGTCATGTAGCACATAGTGATACAAGCCTTCATTGAGTATTGACTCTTGACTTATTTTTTTTTTTAAACAGACAAGAGGTTTACAACTAGTGTCCAGGGGCCACATAGAAATGTGCATTGGATCGGATGTGTCCCCCAGGCCACACTCTGCCCAGGTCTGCTCTGAATACAACTTTGAGTGTGCAAAAGACATCAACACCATGGACAAAAGCTGTTGCCCCTTTGAGAAGCAGAGTGACGTCTTACCGTGAGTCCGCACCACTCGCACCTGAGCCCCGTGAACATGTCTGAGGAGCCACAGGAGCGGCGGCACACCTCACAGCGGCCCGACGAAGCACTGCAGCCCTCCCTCCAGTGGTGCGGCCACGTATCCTAACGCCCAGGAAAATAGAGCACAGCTAAAAGAATGTTCCACCACAAATTAGGGACTATATGAAGTAAAGGACTCAAAAGAGACAGCTTTTATCTCAGTATACATGCTACATATGCAGACTCAGACCTCTCTAGTCTCAGTATACATGCAGACTCAGACTTCTCTTGTCTCAGTATACATGCAGACTCAGACCTCTCTTGTCTCAGTATACATGCAGACCCAGACCTCTCTAGTCTCAGTATACATGCAGACTCAGACCTCTCTTGTCTCAGTATACATGCAGACTCAGACCTCTCTTGTCTCAGTATACATGCAGACTCAGACCTCTCTTGTCTCAGTATACATGCAGACTCAGACCTCTCTTGTCTCAGTATACATGTAGACTCAGACCTCTCTTGTCTCAGTATACATGCAGACTCAGACCTCTCTTGTCTCAGTGTACATGGAAGACCTACCCGTGTGTCTGGTGATGAGTCCAGGTGACAGCAGCGACAGTCTGCACAGCTGAAGACTGCGCAGTCTGAGTGAACGTGGAGCTCGCAGACTGAAACACATGATTCAACCAAGTAGTGAGACGATAGAGTAAGTTGTTTTAAGTACTACATTTGAATGATGTCTGTGAGATTGGTGCAGCGTGCGCAGTGATGCAGTCGTTCTATCAGACTGTTGTGGGGAAGAGGGAGCTGAGTCAAAAGGAAAAGCTCTCGATCTACATTCCCTCCATCACCTCTGGTCATAAGCTTTGGTAATGACCGAAAGGACGAGATCGCAATCTTAAAATGAGCTTCCTCCGCAGAGTGGCTGGGAGATAGGGTGAGGACCTCAGACATCTGAGGAGCTCGGAGTAGAGCCGCTGCTACTACGTGTCAAGAGGAACAAGTAGAGGTGGCTTGGGCATCTGTTCCGGATGTCTCCTGGACACCTTCCTGGGGAGCGTGTCCAGGCAAGACCCAGGACGACGCTGGAGGGACTGTGTCTCTCAGCTGGCCTGGGAACGCCATGGGATCCCGTGTGAATAGGAAAGTCTAGGCCTCTCTGCTTAGACTGCTGCACAGCAACAAATAAAGCAGCAGACTTCATCAAAGCCCTTTTCCAATCCATGTGCATGCATAGAGCTGGCCCTCGGACTTCAGCGCTCGGACTAAACCGGCCCCAGTTGATGCTCTTACCTTCACAGCGCAGATCAGTGCTGCCCCCTGAGGGTTTGCGACAGACACTGCAGAAGCGCTTTTTGTGGCCAGCGGGGACGAGGCAGTGAGCCACAGGAACCTGCAAAACACAAAACACACTCATCCATGTATCAGGAACACATGACACATCTCCTCGCCCACTCTGCTTAAATGCTATGGACCATAGTGCTCCAGGTTTGAGACAGAAGCAGTCCATACAGACGCGTTCCTGATGTGTTTTCATTCACTTTTCCTGTCAAGTTAAGAGCAGCCCTGCTCAAACAAAGGATTTGGAATTGGAATTCAAAGCACAATGTCTTAGCTTACATTGTGCTACATGCTAGGTATTTATTATAAACAAAAAATGTAATTTCCCACTTTTACCACTAGTTGGGAGTGTTTTCTTGTGCGGGTCAAAGGATATCCATCCCCAGGCCACATCCAGCATCATATTGTGACCCGAGTGTGGCACAGATCTTGAATATTATGAGCTCTGTAAAGTCAGTCTACAACTTTTCACTTTGAATAAATGTTATACCCCCTGGCTATACTGAAGTTGGTACAACCCACACTGAAAAATGCAAATTTGCATATTGCCTTCAATAAAACAAAGTCTGCTGTTTCTATACGCTAGTAAGAGCTCTGACAAAGAACATAATGCAGGTTAGGGTTACTTTTTGTGGAGTAGGGTTAGGGTCTACTAGGGTTAGGGTTTGGATTACTTGATTAAGGTGAGAGTTTGGGTTAGCTCCAGTATATTAGGGTTATTTGATTAGGGTTAAATCAAATAACCTGGGACCGGAGGGTGTGTTCCAATTATCGTGGGATCACACTCCTCCGCCTCCCTGGTAAGGTCTACTCCAAGGTACTGGAGAGGAGGCTACGGCCGATGGTCGAATCTCGGATTCAGGAGGAGCAGTGTGGTTTTCCACACTTCCCGGCCGTGGAACACTGGACCAGCTCTATACTCTCCATCGGATACTCGAGGGTTCATGGGAGTTCGCCCAACCTGTCCACATGTGCTTTGTGGATTTGGAGAAGGCGTTCGACCGTGTTCCCCGGGGTGTCCTTTGGGGGGTCCTCCGTGAGTACGGGGTCCGGGGTCTTCTACTGAGGGCCGTCCGGTCCCTGTATGACCGGAGCCAGAGCTGCGTGCGCATTGCCGGCAGTAAGTCAGACCTGTTCCCGGTGCATGTTGGCCTCCGACAGGGCTGCCCTTTGCCACCGGTTCTGTTCACTGTATTCATGGACAGAATTTCTAGGCGCAGCCAGGGGTCGGAGGGGGTCCGGTTCGGGGACCACAGGATTTCATCTCTGCTGTTTGCAGACGATGTTGTCCTGTTGGCTCCAACGAACCAGGACCTGCAACATGCACTGGGACGGTTTGCAGCCGAGTGTGAAGCGGCTGGGATGAGAATCAGCACCTCCAAATCCGAGGCCATGGTGCTCGACCGGAAAAAGGTGCCTTGCCCTCTACAGGTGGGTGGAGAGGTCCTTCCTCAAGTGGACGAGTTCAAGTATCTCGGGGTCTTGTTCACGAGTGAGGGAAGAATGGAGCGTGAGATTGACAGGCGGATCGGTGCAGCGTGCGCAGTGATGCGGTCGCTGTATCGGACCGTTGTGGTGAAGAGGGAGCTGAGCCGAAAGGCAAAGCTTTCGATTTACCGGTCAATCTTCGTTCCCCTCCCTCACCTATGGTCATGAGCTTTGGGTAATGACCGAAAGAACAAGATCGCGGATACAAGCGGTCCAAATGAGCTTCCTCCGCAGAGTGGCTGGGCGCTCCCTTAGAGATAGGGTGAGGAGCTCAGTCACACGGGAGGGGCTCGGAGTAGAGCCGCTGCTACTCCACGTCGAGAGGAACCAGTTGAGGTGGCTCGGGCATCTGTTCCGGATGCCTCCTGGACGCCTCCCTGGGGAGGTGCTCCGGGGACGTCCCACCGGGAGGAGACCCCGGGGAAGATCTAGGACACGCTGGAGGGACTATGTCTCTCAGCTGGCCTGGGAACGCCTTGGGGTCCCCCCGGACGAGCTGGAGGAAGTGTGTGTGGATAGGGAAGTCTGGGCGTCTCTGCTTAGACTGCTGCCCCCGCGACCCGGCAACGCGGATAAAGCGGAAGAAAATGGATGGATAGATGGATGGATGATTAGGGTTAGCTTTAGTGTATTAGGGTTAGGGCATGCACAGTGATGCCAATTCTTTATCATTTCATTTGTTTTTCCATATTGACACATTCTAAAACATGACCTTTGTAAATATTCTCCAGACCAAGTTTAAGGAACAGGACCACACACAATGGCTCATAAGATTCTAATAATAAGACTTAATTAAATAACCTTATACGTCTTGAACATAAAGAAGACAGGATGAACTTTTTACATTTAGGACCAGAAATAGTATTGGATCTACATAGAAAGTATAGATGTCGTCATTTCAGTACTCACAGTGACGGTGGAGGGCGTCACACAGGAACACACCGACCTCAGAGTTTTCACACACTTCTCGTGGCTCATGAAATTACAAACTGAAAACAAAACACAAGCAATCATTTTTAATACACATCTCAAAAACAATGTTCCCTAATATCTCAATCTCATTGAAATAACGGCCCAGGTGGAACAAACTTTTGCTTCTTCATCCTACATAAGTTAGAGATTTTAGACTTGCTTCATTAGCAAATCTAAATTCTTAGGGACCAGGTCTGCAAACTAGCTGTTAGCTTTACAGCCTATGAACACAGCATCGGTTCCTGTAACAATGCTTCTTGTTCTGTCCCTATCAAATAAACATATAATAATAATAATTATGATAAAGCTAGAGTTTTTAGACTTGCTTCTTTATTATGCTAAAGCTAGAGTTTTTATACTAGCTTCTTTATCATGCTAAAGCTAGAGTTTTTATACTAGCTTCTTTATTATGCTAAAGCTAGAGTTTTTATACTAGCTTCTTTATCATGCTAAAGCTAGAGTTTTATACTAGCTTCTTTATTATGCTAGAGCTAGAGTTTTATACTAGCTTCTTTATTATGCTAGAGCTAGAGTTTTATACTAGCTTCTTTATTATGCAAAAGTTAGAGTTTTTATACTAGCTTCTTTATTATGCTAGAGCTAGAGTTTTATACTAGCTTCTTTATTATGCAAAAGTTAGAGATTTTATACTAGCTTCTATATTATGCTAAAGTTGCGGATTTTACACTTGCTAAAGCTAGAGATTACATTTTATTTTAGTGTAGAGTTATTTATTTTGTGCTGTGTGCTCCTCATTCCTACTGTTCTGTAACTGTTGATGGAACACTGACATGTCCTCAGTGTGGGAGGAATAGCGGATCTCCCCACTTGTTGTTGTTGCTGTATTTGAGATTCGAGATGCAGAAAGGAGAAAGCCACTTCCTTTGACGACACTGCAGCAAAACCACGACAACCTCTTCTCACTACACACTTCAGAAGTTATCAGAAATCATCACAGACAGACTTTACGTGACATGAACGTACAGCTACCAGACACTTTTACTGCACCATACTGCATGTTAGAGTAAGGCTGGATTGTCCTGCACTTATAATAATAATAATAATAATAATAATAATGACTTGGATTGTACGCGCGCTCTGATTGGCTGATTTGCGGTCTGATATTTTCCCATCTCGGACCGTTACCATGACAATTGGTCCGCAGCGCGTATCAAATGTGATATCTTTTCTCAACAAAAAAAAAAGAATGAGCGACGACTTCAAACAGTCAAGAGCAGATTGACAACTTCGTTACAGATCAAAAAGCTAAAAACACAATTAGGAAAACCAAGTCAGAGATCGATATTTGCATAAATTTAAAATAGTCATATAATAAAACATTCTTTAACCTCGCTTGCTCGGAAATATCAGATCTTGGTCTTTTTGTACAGACCTGTGCAAAAAGACCAAGGTCTGATATTTCTCTGTACAGACCTAGCGCTCGTTTAATCAGCCGTTAATCCAGTTATTATTATAGATCCATGATTGAGACACTCAAAGACGCTTCTCATGTCATTATTCTTCCACTCCATACACAATAAACTACTACTGTAGCCACAGCTGCCCTGGGGCACACTGACAGAAGTGAGGCAACCAGTCTGTGCCATCGGCCTCTCTGACCACCACCAACCATTCACACACACACCAGACTCATTCTAGGCAATGTGGGTGAAGTGTCTTGCCTAAGGACACGGTGGCAGTTTGGCACATTACAGCCACAGCCGCCCCACTGTGGCATCAGGTGTTCCCAAAGCTTAAGTGTCTTGCCCAAGGACACAACGACAGCAAACATTAGTGGGAGTTTAATTGACTTTTACAGTATCTCCCCTGTAAAAGTGGACTCAAAGATATTGGCTTCAAAAATATCACGTATCCTCTTTCCAATATAAAACAACACAATGGAAATCTGCTGCTGCTTCTGTAAGGATGCTTATGAGAACCCCTCTGACCGGCCCTGACCGCTGCTCCAGCCCAGTGGAGTACAGCCCAGTGGAGAGGGAAGCATGCTCGTATAGTGGTCTGACACTAATCCTGATGTTATGTAATAATCCCTGTTGATCTTCGCTGCCTTCTGCCGCTCGGAGGTCTACTGCACCTAAAGAACGTCTATTCTACAGATCTGACTGTAGAGAAAAAAGACAATATTGAAATAATCATATTGCAATGAGGCTGAACATATTAAATGGCAAAACATTAATCTTTTTGAATGTTCACTTTCCCATTAACTAAGCCTGGTTCACTTTAACTGCCTCAGTTCTGGTTCATGTAAACTGCCCCATTTCTGGTTCACTTTAACTGCCTCAGTTCTGGTTCACTTGGGGATAGTCTTTATTTGGGGATGTAAAAGTACCAATCAGGTGAGCATGTGTCCAGAGTCACTTAGGTCAGTTTACATTTTTGAAACATATCCATGCAGCATTTTCCTCCAAGTGAACCAGACTGAGTCCAGTTAAAATTAACCAGACTGAGTCCAGTTAAAATGAACCAGACTGAGCCCAGTTAAAGTGAACCAGACTGAGTCCAGTTAAAGTGAACCAGACTGAGCCCAGTTAAAGTGAACCAGACTGAGTCCAGTTAAAGTGAACCAGACTGAGTCCAGTTAAAGTGAACCAGACTGAGCCCAGTTAAAGTGAACCAGACTGAGTCCAGTTAAAGTGAACCAGACTGAGTCTAGTTAAAGTGAACCAGACTGAGTCCAGTTAAAGTGAACCAGACTGAGCCCAGTTAAAGTGAACCAGACTGAGTCCAGTTAAAGTGAACCAGACTCAGTTAATAGGAGAGTGAACTAGAGCGTGTGAACGTGCCCTAAATGTACTTTTAGGGTGCTTTCACACCTGTTGGTCCACTAAAGTGGTTCACTTGGGCCCTAAAGTTGTTACAATGTTGCAGTTCTCAACTAGTTTGGTTCTCATTCACACCAGTGTTTTTGCAAATGAACCAACCACTGTGGATGTTACATATTCTGCCACCCATGTGGTGGCGCTGTTCACAAAATACTGTGTATTGGATGATGTATGTGAAACCTGATTGGCGCAGGATGTGAAGACAAGACAAGAAAAATCTCGGAAGAAAACAAACTTGTCAGATCTTTAACGATGAACTGTGCTGCTCTAGTGTGTGGACATTGTTGCTTTGTGCAGCACAAATACTGCAGTTGTTCCAGTTTGTGTCACGGATTCAGCACAAGAACCCTCTGTTGCTGTTTTTGACTATTCTATCATATAATAAAACACAATGTGTGTGTCAAAAAGTGTGCTACGCAACAGAGTAGGGCCATATCGAGGCCGGTCAGAGTTCTCACCAGCAGCGAACCAGACTGGAGTCCATATGGAACCGTGCCGAGACCAGCTCCATAAGGTGGTCTCGGTGCGGTTCTTTAGTCCAGACCAAATTTAACTGGTCCACTTTCACACCTGCTCAAACGAACCGTACTTGCAGGTGATCCAGACTCCAGTCCGTTTCAAGTGAACTAAACGGTGCAGGTGTGAAAGCACCCTTAAAATGTTTTATTCATATTTTGACTGATTCATGAGGAGGGGGGTTAGCAGGCTCGACACATGAACTGAAGAATAGAATCCTCCTCTTTGCTCAAAGACAAACAAGCAAACAATGGCCGAGGAAGGACGTGGTTTGAAATATACCAGAGGAAGTACTTACGGTGTTAAAAACACCACAGGCAAAAAGAAGGGGAATTGTGATGGTCACTGTTGGTTTGGTAGAACATGGGAATTAGAGTGCAAAGATGAGATTATATTTATTTTTATTGTAAAGTGAGTTTGAATGAGTTCTTTGGGAGGATTGTACATCACAACATGGAGCTGGAAGTGTTTGTCTGTTTATTGTAGTCTCCATTAGCTCAGTATTTCCTTGGGTCCTGGTGTTTCTACAGGTTACCATGGCGATCCTCCCTCTCGTACCTTTTATAGCTCCATGGGAAAGAGACGATTCCACTATGTTACTATGACGACTGAGGAAGACTGAAGTCCTGGCTTTCCCCGGGTTTACTTTGGGCACATGGTCTAAGGCTGCGGCTGCATTGTAGTTTGCTTCTCAGATATTATTTTTTCCAATTGATGACCACTTACTGCTGTTGTACTTTTAGTTGTAATTAAAGACGACATATTTTAACCAAATTACAACCTTTTTCCTGATCAAAAGCAGAGTCATTCGTAAACGGCACACAGAGAGAGTGGAGATTAGGTTATGACCACAGTAAACCAGCATGTACCTTAGCGCATACAGCAGTATACAGCTAGCTCTATGAAGTCTCTAGTGAAGGTCTCGTGGTATATTTATACATATGATCCAAGTGCGTATATTTTGATACCGTCTCTGGATTTGCCTGTTAATAATTGACCAATCGTGTGCCTTCAGCCCCCAACTCAGCTTAAGAACAGCCTTTAAAGAGCGACTAAACACCTGTGCCCAGCCTTACTCCGCCCACATGAAGATTTGAAAATGTTCTCTTAAAAGGGCGTTGCCTGGAGGACCAAGGGACAAGAAGGGGGGCTTAGAGTTGGGCGTGGTCTGGGCTGTGATTGACAGCTCACTTGTCACACAAAAAAAAACAGACAGTTGTCATTGCTGCTTAAAGCAATAGTTTACAGACCAGAAAGTCTCATTCCACCCTTGATAACACACTAAGATAATTGTAAAGCTACACACCTGAACCTAATCACACTCAATAATCTCAGAATCACTCATGTCATTTAATTTTAATCCACTAGATGGCGCCAGAACACTCCAAACTGCAGCTGGGGCGTGTGTGAGAGTTGGATGGGTTTATATCACTGGCTCTGACAGACTGACGTCACACAAAACAACTGATGTCATAGAGAACTTCAGAGTCAATGGAGAGGCCAGGACCAAATTCAAATGTAGTACCACCAAAAAGGTTGAGAGGGCGCCACACAGACGTTTTTTGGCTCAAAAATGATATTTTATCTAATTTGAACTAATATGTCAAAGAAATGACCAGGATATGTAGAGAGCACTACAATAAACATATTTATGGAGT